GGCGAACGAGCTGATGCTGTCGGTGATCTCGAAGTTGCCGCTCACCTTGACCGCGTTCGTCTTGACGACATCCATGCTGACGCGTCCGCGGTAGACGACATCCATGCTGACGCTTCCGCGGTAGACGCGGGTGGGCGCGAGGAAGCCGAGGGCGGCGGCGGCGATCATATTTGTGACAGTGGCGGCGATCATCGCCGCACTCAAGGTATGGGCACTGATGGCTCTGAGAAAAAAATATTCTAAAAAATCCTCCGACTCTCGTCTTGACCAGGATCGAAGAGCACCAAATTCTCTCATGACCCTTCCCAAGTGCCAAAAGTAGCCAACGGTTCCCAACCGCCCGCGGTTATAGTACAATACTGATGAAAGAGCAAAGAGATTCGCGTCACCACCGCCTCCCACCTCTCTCCTATCTAAACTGACGGTCTTTGTCAGCAGCCTCGCGCGCATTCGCCGTTTGCGTATAACCGCGTCCAGTCGCATTCCCACACCCATCGCTGGCCCTCCGTCTTCATTTTGCAGATGCGCCCTCCTGCGAGGCCCCACGCCCATGACTCGTCCTTCCGCTCGACCACCTCGACCACGTCGCCAGTCTGCAGGAAGACGACCCTAGCGCCAACGCCTGTATCGCGGCGCTTCGGGTCCTCGCGCGCCATCGCCTCACGGTGATCTATCGATGCGGCCTTAGAGATGCCCTTGTTTGCAAACATCCGCGCGCGGTGAGCACTGTGCTTCGTGTCGGCCTTGCTGGCCAGGTGTGCGTTGAGCGCGTGGCCGTTTTGGAACAGCTGCAAACAGAGATGGCACTCGTATCTGCGTGTGCCTTCCGCAGCGGTACGCTGGCGGTAGGATTGGGCTGCGGCGATGGGATCGTCCAGCTGCGCGGTCTCACTTGTGCCCTGCTCGCGATCGCGCTTTGTTCCCTCCGGTTTCCGCGTGTCGTGCGCTCGCGCAGGTCGCAGACTTGGCTCCGCGTTACGCCTTTTGTGGTCTTCCGCAGGCGGCACCTCGTCTTCAACGAACAGCATGTCGTCGTCCGCGTCGGCGAGCAAGTCTGCGAGGCCTTGCATAGGATCACGTCTGAGCCACTCTTTCTGGCTCCAAGGCGTAAGTGTGTTAGCAGAGAAAGAGAAACCAAAGAGAAAACGTGAGCCTGGAGAAAATAAAAGGGAGGCAAATTCTTTTGCCATCTGTCCCTTCACCACCTACTCCGAGAAGGGCAACTCCGTGCACGGACGGTCGGCCGCCTGAAAACACGTAATCCTGGCTACCCAACGCGGCCAAAGGATATCCACCTCGAGAACCTCGAGAGAGAAGCCACCATGCTCAACTGGGCGTTACCCGCCCTCCTCCTTCTCCTCGCCGGCGTCATCTGGCGCGTCGTCACAGCAAAGCGGCTGCCGGCTGGTCTCACAACTGCGCCTTGGGCGCCAGGTGGGATCCCTATCCTCGGCCATGCGCTGAGGTACAGGACCAACCCGGCGGCCTTCCTCTCCTCTTCGTGCGCCAGCGTTGGCCCCGTCTTCCGTCTGAATCTGGCTGGAAAGCGCATGGTGGTCGTCGGACCAGACAGCGCAGTCATCAAGGAAGTCGCGACGGCATCCGAGTCGATCCTGTCGGCGCGGAGGGCGGTGGCGGAAATTGGCTTCAACGAGACGCTGGGCAGCCTCAACGTCTATTTTGGCACGGACCTCCACAAGCGCTGGATCAAGGAGACGTACGGTGCGTGGTGGGCGCGTCAGCCGCACGACGCTCCCTCCGGCCTGCGCGACGAGATCCGGCCGCTCTGGAGGTCGCTCGACAGGTCGCTCGAGCGTGAACGCGCCGCCTCCCTTCGCGCCGCCGACCTGTTCGGCCTAGCGCGCGCGACGGTGCTGCGCTGTCAGGTCG